CCCCCCCCCCCCCCCCCCGACCCGCAAGACGAGCATTGAAGTTCGAGACTTCGCGAATGGTTGGACGAATGTCCAGCCATCCCGCTTTGTCAGTTCCAATGCCTCACTGTTTCCCTATTTCATACGGCCATACGAAACGCACGTGACAGATGGCAGCTAGATAAGCCCAGCAGGAGGCGAGGGGAAATGTTACAGCAATCATGGAGTCACTCCAAGACCAAGCGCAGAGGCTGGGGGAGCGCAACGGTGTGGATGGGGAGAGGGCGGAAAAGCAACTGGAGGTAGCCCACCAGACGAAGGATATCCTGGAAGCGCAAGCACGGGATTCTGCAGTCAGAGAGAAGGCTAGGGACGCGAGGACGGAGCATTATCGGCAACAGAGGTTGGCTGCTGAAGCCGACCGTGCGAAGAAGCAAGATGTGCAGGTAAATGTTGCCATAATTCGGCTCCAGTACTCGTTCCGAACGACGCTAAGGGTTGCGTTGGTGACTCGCATCATGCGTCGGGTCGTTGGTACCTCACAAAAACGATTGGGCGCCTCGCGTTTTCCGAGTTTGGGGTTTATCTAGCAGAGGACATGACCCGCGATATGCATTACCCCTAACCCAGTTGATTGAAAAGCGTAGGCAAGCCTGTACGCNTTCGATGTACTGCCCCCCCCCCCTTTGCTTGGATCGCATGGTCTGCGACTCGTTTGAAAAACAGCACGAGGAATTGCTGGACTTCATGTCGTCCACGTTCCGGACTCCTGCAGAAGGCGTTGTCATCCAATGGGACTCTTATGAAGAATATTGGGAGTGTCTGCCCAATATCCCAGACGCGGCGACGAGTCTCGTGACCGACGCGCTGCCCACCTTGACGGAGCTGGTGGACTTGGCCAAGGATAAAAATTTCGCGGCTACCTTGAAGGAAGCGGGAGTACGAACGACTCCCGCCACCCGGATTGCCAACTTCATCCAAAAGACTATCTATGACGCTAGTAGTTTTTTGTTCTGTCCTTTCTCAAACATGTGGCGCCTGCTTGCAGTTTCGGCGGTAGCGTAGTGTTGCTTGAGTTACGGTGTTCGGTGATATTTTTCAGGGACGGGGATAAGAAGTTCGCGGTTTAGGGTGGGGAGTATGGGGACCAGGCTGTTTCTCGAACCCAGCACGAGGTGGCTCTCGCGTAGTACTTGGCATGCTTGCGCGGTTTACACGGTTTCTCGGCGTGTATCAACACGCGTACGTATAAATTATTGTGACGGGGGTTGGGGGGTTACGGGAACGGAGAGAGGGGACCACATTGTGCTCGTTTTTTTTTTTTTTTCTGTCACATTTTCTAGCGAGGCAGCTGTTAAAATACAACGATCCTCATAGAAGGGGTAGTACGACTTGGAGGAGGTGGCCTCGATAGCAGGAGAGTTTTTCATGTCGATACTTGCCAAGTTTGTTGTCCACGTAAACTGTGATCGCGAGTTCGATACCCCCGGCCCCATAACACGAACGTATGAAGCACAGTTTGGGGGGTTGTAAGCTTGTGACATAGACTGCTTCGGCAGGCGAAATCCGTCTCAACATGCGTGGTTCGTGCTTTGTTGCGAAGTTCGCATCACTCCGAAGGTGCATTATTCCGAAGGCTGTGTTTCGGTCGCGGTACTTTTACAAGACATTCAAAGAAACACTTGAGACCGGAGGTGCTCCGGCGATGTATACGTAGTTCCTTTGTCATTGCTCACCGGCCACTTGGCCTTGTGAAGGCACAAACTTTTCAGAAGGTGAATATTTGAGGAAGGCCCTCTTGAGATGATAGTTTCCGACGCAACTGTACGAAAACAAGTCGCAGCACTTAACAAACAAAAATGGGACCAGCTGCCGGACGTACCTCTAATGCTTTCTCTGTCAATCGATAGCGCGTCCCTAGGAGACGGGACCTCCCACACACTACGCGTTGCTTCTGCGAAGTCCTGGTGCGATAACACCAGCCCCAACCACAACGGACATCAAGTCAACGGACCGCACAACGAATCAAACTCGACCTTTGTAGGCACGTCTCGCTGCACACCCGCCTCTCGTAACTGTCCCCCCGCGCTCGAAAATATCGGCACGTGGAATAGCATACACCATAAAACAATGCGGGGTCACGCCAGCCGGCGTCCGACCCCATTCGCCCGTCATGTAGATTTCCTACAACATGTCGGTGAAAAACAACCACGACCGGCGCTATGTTCGCCTGTTAGATTTCAAGCGCCCAAATGCTATCCCAACACTGCTGCAGGTGCTGAGCGGTTCCTTCATTCGCGACGCCATACAAATACTTCTCTCCCTCGTTGTGGACAAGATAGCTTTTCGGGTCCTCTTAGTCCCAGTAGAGGTGGATTCCGAGCTTCACCTCCCAGGCCTCCTTCACGCGTCCAGTCCACTCCGGGCTGCGCGGATACCTGTCACGAACCCTCATGATCCGAGCTGTGAGCCTAGCGCACACGTCGAAGACGTCTTTCTCGAAGTCCCGTCGGTGCCTAAAAGCCTTGCCATTGCCCACTGCCTTCCACTTCTTAATCTGGCCTATGGTGTTCTCTACCACGACCCTGAAACGGCGCTGCTCTGTGTTGAACCGCCTCTCTTCATTAGAAAGATCCCCCTGCTGCGGCTTCCTGTAGGGTACGCACATGGGCAAGTCGCTGTCTGCTCGCGCGTTCCCTAGGTAAGCACCGTCCCCCATACCGACCTCGTCGGCTGACAGGAACTCCTCAGGATGAGTGTACACTCTAGAAGCGACATGTGCTCCCCTGTCCGATTGCGCTCCAGCCACCGTCTCTATCTGCACAACGTTTTCACACCCGCCGGGACACCAGGGGGGCAAAGGTGGCGGGTTCCTTGTCATGTGCTCCACTATTTGTACCAAAGGTAGAAGAACTCTTCACCACAGACTATACGGCAATCTACATACGAATCAGCCTATGTAGTAAATGTCAATCTTCGTCTGGGTGCTTGACGCATTGCACGGCCAAAGGTTTGTCCCGAAACTCACGTCACCGAGGGTACTTTGCCGGCGCATATCGGTATGTCAAGCAGAACGCCCCCCCCACCCCCCATTCCGACTAACTTTTTGTTAGCACTTCAACATGCGCCGCGGAATTCCGACTTGCATGTCCAAGCGCACTGGAATAACGTTACGGTCTCACAACACACAACACTGATTGAAGCACGTCTACTCCAGTAGATTTTTTTGAGCGATTGACAACAGAGTGGTCCTGGTGGAGCGAGGGTCGCAACTCGAGTGAGCTCCTCAATACGACTTAGCATTTGGGACTCCGATCAAAGTATACGACGCACCCGTATCGGTTTGCCCCTGACGTTGCAGTAGACGATATGGCTAGTTCCAAGGCCCTTGTTACCGGAGTAGTTCGCCTGATGCACCGGGGCGTGAGGCTCTGGTTGTCCCTTGCCGACCTGCACGGGATTCAAGCGGCGGGCGAGGGAGTGTGAAACAAATGTCCCGCATGCGCACGAAAGGCGAATAGTTCAAACGGTAGCATAGGGTAAAGAGGGGGAGAGCGGCCTACCAACAGAGCCCATCGCAACCAGCACAGGTCTGGACAAACCAACGTCGCACAGACAGACAATTCGCACGGGCTAATGCATATTCGTTCTTTCGAGATACCCTGCCACAAACACTAAGCAAGGTTTTACCCACTCTATGCATGTCACACATCAGCAACCAACGTAGGTGCTAGCCTTTTAAGTCCTACCTTGGCAGGGTTCCGCATGTTCACCATGGTGCCGTCGGCGATGTAAGCTACACGAGGGAAATCCGGGTGACCCCAGGTTTGAAGGAAAGTGCAATGAGCTGCCCGCTCCGCTGCGTCAGGCCACTGGATCTCCTGTACCACACGACCATGGAAGCGAACAGAACCTATGAGTCAACTTCATGTATATACAGTGTGAACTTATCGCGCACAGCAGACTCTCCTTACACAACTCCTCCACGCGCACTCCTCCTCGCGCTGACAGGGAGCGTGTACGCGTCAGATAAAGGGATTCCCTAGACGTTGCGGTGGGCTCGTGACAGGCTAGTGCTGGTGTCGAGCGTCGGCCTGTTTCCGCTGACGCTTCTGCAGTAACACGAGGTGGACGCATGGCTCTAATCCTGAACGTCTTCCCTCGAGTCATGCCAAATACCACTTCCCACTCCGAATTCTTCAGCGTATCATGAGTCAATGAGTCAAGTTTGTGTTTTGTAGAACACAACTGCAAATCAATGCATGCACTCTCACCTCTTGCAGACTAGGCATGTTCTGCGGGGCCGCCGTCATGTCCTTGAACTCGTTGTGAAACGTCCCAGCACACCGTCCATATGCGAGGGCCATGTCCTCGAACAAAGTGTCCCTCCTGAGCATCTCCAGCCAGCACAGAACTCGGTCTCTGTCATCCATGCTCCCCCGGATGACCCGCCTGGCCTTGTTGTCCTCCGCCGAGTAGTTTCCGAGGTGGTTCCGAGCTTGCCCAAACAGCCATGAGCGGGCGAGACGGTTTCCCTCAGCATCCAGGAACGTGTCTTCGTAAAAGGAGTCGAACTCGTCCTTCTCCATCCTGTTTTGTAACGAATCTGGCTGCTACTGTGGGCATCATAGATCCCACCCTCCTCGCTAGGGAACCGAAGGGGCAGACGTGCCCGACTGGCAGTGTCGTTCGCGGCGCTGTTACCCCTGCCAATGCGAGGGAGTAGGGGTCCGAGCTTCTTCAGTGTATGCCGATAGGTTGGACCCCTACGCATATCCTCCTCTAACTCGTCAGCATCACGACTGTCCACCACAGCAGGCTGGCGCATCATCGCCGCCGCGGTGGAAGCTTCGAACTGGGTTTTGTTGTTTGTACGTCTTGATTGTTCTTCCTCTTCGTCCTCGACGTCGTCGTCATCGCCAAGAGCTGCGGCGGTGGAGAAGTTGATGCTTTTCTTCCGCTGGTACATCAAGACAGCTGACTTTCTTTTCCGCGGGTCAAGGGTCAGCATGGTTGATCTTGCGTCGGCCGCAGCAGGCAGAGCTCTGGCGATCAAAACGTGTAGCAGCAGCAAGGCTGCACCGAGGGCCTTCGTGCCAGTGTGTGGGTGGAAAGGAGACAGCACCTTACGACACCGGAGATCTCGTCCCAAGCCTACAGTCCCTTGTGGGAGACCGCGGTCCGCAGTTTTTTCGTGATCGGCTGAGTTTTAAATATGGCTGGGGCACAGGCATATATTTGGCATATTGCTGAATGGACCGAAATAATCCTCCCGCCCCAAATCTGAGTTTTACATGACTCTTGTGGGTCGTGCTGGTGCCCTGGGTGCTGTTGTTGTTGCTGTTGCTGTTGCTGCCGCGTCCGAGCGTTGCTCCTTGGGTGGGATGTTAGGTGCAGATGTCGCCTGGATGCGTTGGTTGATGCCCGCTGCCGCGTTGGCTTGTGGTATTGCCGCGGACCCCGACGCGTGCAAGCCAGCCTGTTGTTGGTGATGCTGCTGCTGAATGGCGATGCTGCCTTCCATTGCCCAGAATCGATTAATTCCTAGAAGGCACCCCGTGTCTGCTGCTCCTCGGAGCTGCTATCTATCTGAAGCCTCTTCTCTCAAGTACGCGTTGACTTGCCTCTCGCCCAGCGAGAACACACAAACTTTGTGACCTCGTGGTGCTCTTCAACTTCCCCGCATTCCTGCTTCTTTCCGAATTCCAACACGCCTCCACTAACCACAGATCATTCTAATACGTACTGAATCTTCACGTTACCTTGCTACTGCTGCATAGCTATACACCCGGGTTGCACGCGGTGGAAAAAGCAAAAAAAAAGGCCCCACGGGGCTCCGTACATGGTAGCTCAGCAGACACGGTACCCGGGAAGGGGCCAGCACAAAAAAAC